GAAATCTCATGAGTGTCACACTGTCGATGTTATAAAGCCTATGACCTTTAATTGATTTGTTATAACTTATAACCTAGAAATCCATAAGGAGCAATCTACCTTTCACACTGTCTTAAAACATTAATATAATTTCATATGAAGGTGTGATTGTTTATGTTCTTTGGCGTAGTGTGATTGGAATGAACGAGGAGTCTAGATTTGTAAAATTAAGGTTGAGACTTGGGTCATGTTGGAGAGTGAGGAGAGTGATGAAGTGGGCTAAGATAAGAACACGAATTTGTGAGAGTGAGTGATTCCGATAAATCACAGTGTAAACTTTTTTTGTTTTTTCACAGTGTAAACCAAACCAGAATAAGAATCAAAATATTTGATAATACAGATCAACCATACCAAAATCATTTCTAATGGTTTAAATCCGAACATGATTCGATTAATCCACAATTTCTCTAACCGTGTGGTCTGTTTTCTTAACACAATAAATTAGAGCCAGCCAGCCAGCTAGATAATTGCAAAGGAAAAAAGGAAAAGGTTGGAGCCAGGGAAGAGGGAGCCCAATAATTCCTTCTTGGGCTTTCCCGTTCTGTCTTTCTGAATCTCAACCGCATAAGGCATAACTAGGCCGGTTTGGGCGCCATGGATTACGGGCCCAGAAGATACTGAGGTGCCGACCTTGATGTCAAAACTGAAAACTCAAATGCAAAGGTCAAACTCAAACGTACTCTATCTGTGAGTCAAAGTTGGAGATGAGAGAAGAAGGGTCGTCGCTGATTTGATTTGATTTGATGGTACCCCGCCGGAAGTCGGAGGGAGCTTCAGCCGGCAATTCAACGGCTCGAGAGAATTTTCTAGAACGCCAGGTGTGAACACCATCGAAACGTTTTCACTTCTAGACTTATGAACAAGTTTGATGGAAAAATTATGGAATATTGTTCCATTTTGTTTTGGCAAGGTATATTTTCTATTATTATATAAACTTGAGCACTTAAATGGAAAATAGAGGAAAAAAAAACCAGATTTTGTTAAGTATTTAGGGATCTCCTACAGTAACTTGGGTATAATTTCAAGTTATTTATTAACTTGCATAGATCTAAACCGTTAAAATCGATCAAACTTATTCTAAACCACTGATTAAAGAAAAAAAAAATAGAAAAAATTTAAAAAAATTAATGACAACATGGGTTGCCGGTCACCACCAAAGCAAGTTATCTTTCTTGTTTTTTTTTTCTTTCCTTTTTCATATTTATTTTTCTTTCCTTATTTTATCCTTTCCTTATTGTAATTCTTATTGAAGTAGAAGAGGTACGTAAGGCTTCCGTAATAGCTTGGCACTTTGCGTAACGTGAAGTTAATGCTCATTACGTAAAGAGACCTTCCATTACGTAAAGGTTACGGAAGGATAGTTATTTCTTACGTAACAGTGAAATCGGAAGCATTACGTAAAGCTTCCGTAATCACTTAGCTCTTTACGTAACACGACATTAATACTCATTACGTAAAGAGACCTTTCATTACGTAAGGCTTCCGTAATGACATTTTATAACTGTTACGTAAAATACACATTCATTACGTTAAGGTTACGTAATGACTTAACACTTTACGTAACGCGAGGTTAATACTCATTACGTAAAAAGACCGTCCATTACGTAATGGTTACGGAACGACAGTTATTTCTTACATAACAGTTAAATCAGTAGGTTACGTAAGGCTTCCGTAATGACTTAGCATTTTACGTAACGTGAGATTAATACTCATTACGTAAAGACACATTCTATTACGTAAGGCTTCCGTAATGATCTTTTATAACTGTTACGTAAGATTACCATAAGTTACGTAACCATTACGTAATACCTATTATATTTTACGTAATGCGACATGTGAAACCTGCTATAGCAGGTAAAAAAATTTCAAGTTACTTTACTCCAAATTACTGTAGGAAATCCCTTAGTATTTATTGGTTTGCATACAATGTTCCTCCGACTTTGTCTTTGTTGGGCGAATTTTCCCCAAATTGGACTGTTTTGATGTGAGTTAAGTACTACATATGTATGTTGGGTGGATTTTTAGTCCACAAGACACAATATAATGTAGTTTCGAGAATATGCTTTGTATTATATATTTTCCTATAAATTAAAAAATTTGGTATGATAACCTCTGTTTTCAGAACCGGATCGGAGGTTGAACCGGAAAAGATAGTGGTTTATGGTTTACCGGTTAACTGTTACAAAACCGTTGGTGAACCGTTGATAGAACCATTAATGATATATAACATATAAGACTTGTATATTACACTAATTTAAGAATGAAATTATCATTGACCATAAACAAGTTCAAATTTATATCATCACGAAAATATCTAATAAATCATTCCAACCATCTCACAAAAGAAACCATATTTTTTAATTCAAATTTAAAATTACGGTTATAGTTGGTAGTAGAAAATGTAAAATCGACAATAAGGTTGAGGAAGCATATATAAAATTAATAATTATGATTTGATAGTCTTAGTTTATGTTAAAATATTCTTTTTTGTTAAAATAGCGAACCAGTGGACCAGTTAAACCGTGTCGGTTCATCTGATTTTATGTTGAACCGTGAAAACCCGTTTGGTCCATCAATAACCATTCAAACAATGAACCGGACCGCTATCGTAACTGGTTTGACGGTTCTACTGGCCCGACCGTTGGTCCGATTCGGTTCTTATAACAAGGATAATAACAAAAATCAACAGACACACAGTTGTGTTTCTTTGGGAGTATACTTAATAAACCAACGTGTGTGCATATAGTGATATAGAGCGGCTCTTTTCAGAATAGTTTTCCAGAAAAATAACTATATGATCACACGTTAACTATTCGAATAAAAACTGTCAAGCTAAGACTCTTCAAAGCGACAATTATGTATATAATGGTTCTTAATTAATAAGCCGAATTTAAGCCAACAAGCTTTGGTTCAATAGTATGACTAATGATCTTGAATCGGGAAGTCTCATATCTTAATCTTTTCAATAATATCTAATTATAAATATAAACATATATCACCCTTATAAAAAAATCACAAAGTAGGGATCACCTATTTTTTTCATTGTACATATACTTACAGACTTACAGTGCTCTAAAAGGTTGTCCTAGGCTGGGTCGGTTTGAGGATTACCTGACTTGGGCTGTGGGTCAATTCAAAGGTAGGAAGCCTCTGGCCATGGTTGGAAGGCTCGTTTGGAATTTGGTGGTACTGGTAAGCATGCTCTGGCCAGAACGGTGTGGCAGAGTTTATAGTGACAAAGCAACTCAACCTGGGGAGCTCATTTGCATGATTAGGAGGGTGACTGAGTTAGCTTGTTTAGGCACCGTAAGCTTAGATGTTGATTGTAGGAAAGTGCTTTTGAGTTAGGCTGTGTTTTTGTATTCCGGTAGTTTTGTATAGAGAGTTCTTTCATGTATCTGCTTTTTGCAGTTCGTTTCTTTGTAAGGTCTAGGTGTGTCACTCTAGTTGGAGTACACATTGAGCATTAATAATTTTTTTTGATATTGCCATCTAAGAAAAAAAAACCCACAAAAATAATCTTATTCTTACAAGTCTAGTCACCATTTACTATGCACCACTATTATATTTGCAATTTTAAATTTCATTTATTGCAAGCTTGCATATCTGCAATTGCCCACTACATTGATGAAATCCCTTTGCAATTGCATATTGAGTGCCATGTAGGATTTGTAATTGAGCAAATATCATTGATATGGATGCTCTAATAAACCAACGTATGTGCATATAGAGCGGCTCTTTTCATAATAGTTTTCGAGAACAATAACTATATGATCACAACGTTAACTATTCGAATAAAAATGGTCAAGCTAAGACTCATTGGAGCTTTAACAGAGCAACACATGCAGTGGCAAAACACTCTTTCATCGGAGTACTTTGGAGTTCGATTATATACGCTTTATCGTTTTTGGTTATTTTTAGTTTTGTAATTTTGTTGTCCGGCTGCCTTGAGGCTTATCTTGTATAAAAAATAGCGAGTTGGTATAGGAGGTTTTAAATTGAATATTATATCATTTTCAAACACAATGATGAATTCAAAGAGCTTGAAATTTGCAATAGGAACCCAAGAGCGTACTCAGTACTCACTCATAGGGGCCCGAAAATTTGATTAAACATGGGTTTCACCGATATAAAAAATCGAATTCATCACCTTTTGACCCCTGAGAAGTATGTAACGGACACATCTTTTTAGCCAACTTGATTGTGAAGCTAGTATTGACTTTTTAGCTATGAGTTTTATCAAGAATGATATCTGAAACGATATGAGTGAACCTGTTATGTTTATGAATGATTGTTTGATTTTATTTCAAAGCATTTAGACCTTGATGTCGAGCTAACCGTTGATTTTAATTTGTTGTTCTCGAAATCTCGAGTTTAATCAAACTGGACCGGAAGGTGGGTGTTCATCACAATGCTCATAGAAACAAAAATAACGAAAAGACAAACCCTTGTAGCTATGGAATCTGAAGTATCCGCCAATGTACGGCTGAACTACGGCAACAAAAGAATAACAGTTAATATCCTACCTCTCACAAGTCACAACAAGTTGATCTCTAGGTCCAACAATGCTGTGTGACTGTGATTATGTCCTAGTCTAACAAGTAAGACATTTGAAAACTCAGCTAACCAGACTGAGAAGAGGCGCCTCAACTGGATTTGGATGGGAGCGCCCTTGTTCCGTACGACAGCTTTTTCCTCTCCGACGGGGGAAGAGCCCCAAAAACGACGAGGGCAAAGAATTCCTCCAATGAGAGCTTTCCTTCCTGGAGACGGAGTATCTGAAGAAACTCCAAACTTCCTGTCCATATCTGCTCTTTTTCGGCTCCCCTGCCTCTTTTTTGGTTTTGCATAGTTTGTATCCCTTCCTCACTGGCAAATTCAGCTCCTTCTATGCCACCACTGACTGTACATGCATAAAGAAATCTACTCCTTTCTATAAAATGATCCATTCCAGTCTTCCCCTCTTCTCCCAAGGCACAACAACACTTTTCTTTCTTCACTTCTGCCCATTAGGCTGAACCCTTCTTTGCACCTGTGTGAGGCTGTGATCAGGTGCAATTCTTTCTCCTGCACTCTCTCTTGTTGTTGTTGTTCTTCTTCTGCATGAATGTGTGTTCCCAGTTCCAATGTTCTGTTGTGCAAATAATGCATTCTGTGTTTTTAACAGTCTATGAAAGAATTCTGCTTCATTTCATGCCTTCTATGTTATGGGTAATGTGAAAGCTTTGATCTTTATGGAAAATGATGATGCTGGTTATTGAATAAGGTGAAGTTTTGTAATGGGTTTCTGTAAAAATTATCATTGCAAGGCTTCTGGTTATTGAGAGGAGATCCCTATGTTAACTGTTCTGCAGAATCGTGTTTGGTTCATCCCAAAGTGTTTGACAGAATTCTGCTTTTTATTGTTTGGAGTCTAATCAGTTATCCCTTCGAATTCGATTGTAGACTGTAATTGAAGGGCGGGGCGAATAACCATGGATGATAAGGATATCTCCCTTGAAGCTATCAACAAGGAAACTGTGGATCTGGTAAGGACTAAACCTCTAACTTTACTGATTTACTGTGGCTTTCTGCTTGTAACTCGAGATCTTTTAAAGGGTAGTACTGTAACAGTATCAGTTCATGAAGTTCAGGATATTTTGAGATATGTCTGACATATTGAGGTTTTCTCCATGGCAGGAGAACATCCCAGTGGAAGAAGTCTTCCAGAAGTTGAATTGTACCAAAGAGGGACTGACTGGCGATGAAGTTCAGCAAAGGCTGCAAGTCTTTGGTCACAACAAACTCGAAGAGAAACATGTCTCTTAACCCACCTTGCTCTTTTAAGCATTATATCCATCTTCATCTCTTGATTATTATCTCAAGCTTCAACCTTTGCTCTATGATTTGGGGTTTTCAGGAAAGCAAAGTCCTCAAGTTTTTGTCTTTCATGTGGAATCCACTCTCATGGGTTATGGAAGCAGCTGCTATCATGGCAATTGCTCTTGCACATGGTGATGTAAGTTAACATCTTACCTTCCAATGTTTCGTTGTAAGAAACTCATGGCTGAATTCAGTGGATTTAAAAGCTCTCACCCAACTGAAATGTGTTGCAGGACAAACCTACAGACTACCATGATTTTGTTGGGATCATTCTGCTGCTAATCATCAATTCAACCATCAGTTTTATAGAAGAGAACAATGCTGGAAATGCTGCTGCTGCTCTCATGGCTCGCTTAGCACCAAAGGCAAAGGTTCGCTGCTGGTTTACTTCAAGATTCATTGATGGTTTTCTTTCCTTTTGTTGTTACTGAGAACTTCTCTTGTATGCTTTTCAATTGGGAAGATTTTACGCGATGGGAAGTGGAATGAGGAAGATGCAGCTGAATTGGTTCCTGGAGATATCATTAGCATCAAGCTAGGTGATATCATTCCGGCTGATGCTAGACTTCTTGAAGGAGATCCTCTCAAAATTGACCAGGTAAAAGGGTGTAAAAGGGTTTTACTCTTACCAACAGATGAGGGTAAACTTTCCCTGGTGTAGTAAAGAAGATGGTTCTGACCTACGGTCTTTCTTGCACTGCAAGTATGTGACAGTTCTGTTACCCTCTTCAAGGGAATCAGAGATGGTTTAAACCTTACAAGTAAAGTTTCTTCCTTTTTTTCCAGTCTGCTCTTACAGGAGAGTCGCTTCCAGTAACTAGAGGCCCTGGTGGTGTGATATACTCGGGCTCAACATGCAAGCAAGGTGAGCTCGAAGCAATCGTGATAGCCACTGGAGTACACACCTTCTTTGGCAAGGCAGCTCATCTCGTTGACAGCACTACCCATGTCGGCCATTTCCAAAAGGTCTCAACTTAGATCATCATTAACTTGATCAAATGGGAATCATACTATTTGAACTCGTCTTTTCACTTGAGAATTTTTTTGGGGTGTTTGTATTCTTTTAGGTCTTGACTTCAATCGGGAACTTCTGCATCTGTTCAATTGCTGTTGGGATGTTAATCGAGATCATAGCTATATACGGCTTCCAACAAAGAAGTTACCGGACTGGGATAGACAACCTTTTGGTTTTACTCATTGGTGGCATCCCTATTGCCATGCCTACAGTTCTTTCAGTTACTATGGCCATTGGTTCTCATCGCTTGTCTCAGCAGGTACTTTAGATCTGCAAAACTAAAAAGTTTTCAATTCCGTAACTGAAACTTGGGAAGGAAGTAAATGGATTACGGACGCCTGGAATTTGAAATGCAGGGTGCCATCACTAAGAGGATGACAGCTATTGAGGAAATGGCAGGAATGGATGTTTTGTGTAGTGATAAGACAGGCACTCTCACTCTTAACAAACTCACTGTGGACAAGAGCATGATAGAGGTACCTCAATTGCTTGCAGTGCATTCAAAGTGCATACTTCTCGTCTAAAACCCGAGAGTGTCCAGTACTCCATGAACTTACTGCTAAGTTTCAAAACAGGTCTTTGCAAAGGGCGTTCAGCAAGATGATGTTGTTCTGATGGCTGCTAGAGCTTCGAGGTTGGAGAATCAAGATGCTATTGATGCGGCCATTGTTGCCATGCTAGCTGATCCAAAAGAGGTAACTTCTCCAATAAGAAAACTAACCAACATGGAAGAACTGTTATCTGCCATTTTGTTTTGACATATTCATATTGCTTGTTTCGTAAGGCGCGAGCTGAGGTTACAGAAGTTCATTTCCTGCCCTTCAATCCAACTGACAAGAGGACAGCACTGACTTACCTAGACAATTCTGGCAAGATGCATCGAGTCAGTAAAGGCGCCCCGGAGCAGGTAAAAATCACTAAGTGAATAATGATTTATGATCTGAATAACCATTCTGACTGTTCAGATTCTCATTTTGAATTCTCCTCCCATTTCGTCCAGATTCTCAATTTGGCATACAACAGAGCAGACATTGCCAACAAGGTACATGGAATCATCGACAAGTTTGCAGAGCGTGGACTACGATCACTAGGGATTGCCCGACAGGATGTTCCTGACAATAACAAGGAAAGTTCAGGTGGACCATGGGAGTTTGTTGGCCTGCTACCACTCTTCGATCCTCCGCGACATGATAGTGCTGAGACCATCAGAAGAGCTCTTGATCTTGGTGTTGGTGTCAAGATGATCACTGGTGATCAGTTGGCCATAGCAAAGGAGACAGGAAGGCGGCTTGGCATGGGAACCAACATGTATCCTTCATCATCTTTGCTTGGAGAGAGCAAAGGGACAGGGTTTGAGTCTCTACCAGTTGATGAGCTCATTGAAAATGCTGATGGTTTTGCTGGTGTTTTCCCTGGTAAGTGATTCCTACCCAATACCCACCAATATTCGCTTATAGTACTCTGACACGTAAGCTGTTGTTATGATCACCGGCTACTTCTGACAACAACTATAGATATTAGTGGATTTTGCTACCCTACTTTGCCCTTAGTAATCTTTTCTTCCCCTTTTGCTAGAACACAAGTATGAGATAGTGAAGAAACTTCAAGCCAAGAAGCACATTGTTGGGATGACTGGCGATGGAGTGAATGATGCACCAGCACTGAAGATTGCAGACATTGGAATTGCCGTGGCTGATTCAACTGATGCGGCTCGTGGGGCTTCTGATATTGTGCTCACTGAGCCAGGGTTGAGTGTGATCATTAGTGCTGTCTTGACCAGCCGTGCAATCTTCCAGAGGATGAAGAATTACACGGTGAGAGATAGCTTGTTTTCTCCCAGTTGGATGAATCGAAACAGACAAATGTTCATATCTTTGCTTATTGCCTCTTTTTATCCTGCAGATATATGCAGTATCCATCACAATCCGTATAGTTGTAAGTTTCCCACTCCCAACAGTTTTGCCTCCATAACTTTGTTGCATGTTTACTTCTCAAATTGATGAGTTCATGTGTTCAAACAGATGGGATTCATGCTGCTCACTTGCTTCTGGGAATTTGATTTCCCTCCCTTTATGATCCTCATCATTGCCATCCTGAATGATGGTAAGCACATTACAAACTTATTCTAGTGATAATCAAATCATAGGATGAAAGAGTGATACAAATGCGGTAATTTACAGCTGATCAAAAGAACGTCTGTTCTTGATACTTCAAGCAGTCTCCGCATACATGATCATATACCGTGTTTATATAAACCGCTAACATTGGGATTATCGAGATTTAGAGTGAAAAATCTTGATCATCAAATTTGTTGGCACTATATCAAGATATAGTTAAACTTGAGCTTTCAATGGTATGTTTCCAATGGTATATACATTAGCTTTGCCTCGGGGATGATCTCTGCCTTGAACAGCATTGTGGTCATTGTGGAGAATAATACCACTTGTGAAGATAACAGGTAGAGTGTGTGTCCAATGATTTTGAATTACCTGCTAGGCTGCTACTATAAGTCAAAAACCATGATAGTCAGGTGGCTCGACACAATATCGAACTCTGTGAGATGAGACCTCTGATATTTCCATTGGCAATCTGCAGGTACCATAATGACAATTTCCAAAGACAGAGTGAAGCCATCACCAGTGCCAGATAGCTGGAGGCTGAGTGAGATCTTTGCAACTGGAATCGTATTAGGAGGATACCTAGCCATTATGACTGTCATCTTCTTCTGGGCAGCTTATGAAACCAACTTCTTCTCGGTACACAGAATCACAGCCAACTCCTTCATCCAACTTCATGAAAACACACAATTTTCTTTCGTTTCTTCAATGATCTCGAAATCAACTTGCTTCCAAATTTCTGCCTGCAGGAGCACTTCCACGTACCAAGCTTGAGAAAGAGTCACTACAACACGTCAGACCCAGATGTGGTTGATTTGCTTAACAAGAAGCTAGCATCTGCTGTTTACCTTCAGGTCAGCACAACCAGCCAGGCTCTGATCTTCGTGACTCGTTCCAGAAGCTGGTCCTTTGTTGAAAGGCCTGGTATGCTTTTGATGATCGCCTTCATCATTGCCCAGTTGGTAATTTTCTCTCCTTAATCACTCTTTCTTGTCAACTTTCCTGCAAGCATAGTTAGTTCAATTCGGCAAGAGTCAGTCACAAGAAAGCAGTATGTAAATGATACAAGATTAAGTATCTTTGGACTTCTCCTAATAATTCGAGTTACTTGGATGATGTGTTCACAACACATGCATGCTGACGTGTTTTCAGATAGCGACGGCGATATCAGCATTAGCAAACTGGGGTTTCGCCGGCATCCATAGCATCGGCTGGAAATGGACTGCCGTCATTTGGGTTTACAACATTGTGACATACATGCTTCTTGATCTCATCAAGTTCGCTGTCCGATATTGCTTGAGCGGTAGAGCTTGGGGACTCGTCTATAACCAAAGGGTAACTATTAGCAACCCCAAATTCTGCACAGTGTTTGCCTTTGATTCGCCTGTTTACCTTAACTTCAACAAATGTTCTCTCATCATGAAAACTAAACTTCAACTTCGGTGTGTTCCTTTTGTTGTTGTTACAGACTGCATTGACCACACAGAAGGACTTTGGAAGGGAAGCTAGGGAAGCAGCATGGGCGACTGAGCAGAGAACACTGCACGGCCTGCAATCCGCAGATTCGAGGCCTATTCACGACAAGAGCAGCTACAGGGAAATCAGCATGGTTGCTGAAGAAGCCAAGAGGCGTGCTGAGATTGCCAGGTACTTTGAAATTTTGCATTGAACTCTTAACCCTGAGTTTGAATCTTGAAGTCCTAAGATCACACGTTATTTTTGGGCAGACTGAGAGAGCTGCACACACTGAAGGGCAAAGTGGAGTCGTTTGTGAAGTTGAAGGGATTGGACATTGAAGTGAACCCACATTACACAGTCTAATCAAGGAGACTACTTCCAGTGAAGTAGAACTGCTGATGGTCTAATTCACTATGAATGAAACTTCTTTGTTCTCACTCTTCTTCTTACATGTATTATCAAGAATGGATTTTTCTTGTGGGTTGTGAATAAATAGTTCCTTTTTCCCAACTAAGATTAATAATACACTTTTGCTGGAGTAGTAAACTGATAGTGTCAAAATTGTAAGATATGCCTATATTACTTGTGCACGGATTTACATTTATATACGGCTATGAAAATTTCATCTCAAGTATGTTTTCCCATTCACTACTATGCAACAGGGTCGGCACATAATATTCGGAGGCCCTGTTTGAAACATTAAAATATGGTCCTAAATTTTTTTTCATGCAAATTTATTAATTTTTTTATTAACGATAATAAAAATTTACATAAAAATGATTAGGACCTCTTTTTCATAGCTTTTGACAGCCCTAGGCTAGATTTTGTCACAACTAATAGAAACAAATATGGCCCATTAAAAGACCAACTAATCCATTCACTTTCTTTAAAATTGGACCATTAAAGATCAACTAATTCATTCAATTTCTTTTAATTTTAGCCCATACATCCTTCTATGGCTCATATAAACGAATTAATATTCATTTCTTTAAGTTGGGCCTATACATTTTTCTCTGGTCATATAAATGAATTAACAACTTGGATGCACACATCCTTATTTGGCCATATAAACGAATCATTAGTGAGGCCCTTAAAATTGTGAAGCTCTATGCTGTGGGTCTGACTAGCACAGGGTTTGGGCCGAGCCTGCTATGCAAACTTACATATTTTATAGCCAATGTAGTCAAAATCCCGATTTTAATCTTAAAATCTTACGACTTTACGATCTTACATATGAGTTCCGATCCTGATTTTAGTGTAAATTTTTGAACCTTAAAATCCCATAAAATTCAGATTTAAAACTCTAAAATTCTTAAAATCTACGATTTTGTACGATTTCAAGGCTCATATCAATTGGAGCAAAATTAGGTCGGTCAAGTTGGTTCTTCCCATGAACGTTATCAAATTTACTTCCCCCGACCCACCATAATGAACAACACAACCCTAACCCGATAGACAACGCTCGATTTATTCTCTTCCTCATATCTTCTTCTTTCACACATCGACGCCCAACTCCTTCCATCAACGATATCTTCCATCCTCCCAATTAGCTTGTAGTTTTTTCCCACCACCCTCACAATAATTCAAATCTCCATTCCATTGCAAGTTTTCGTTCATCTCCCAATCCTTCAGCACCACTAACCCCAACCTTTTATCAATTAAGAAGGGAATGCATTAATCAATGAGTTATCTTTGCCAGATGATGGTGATAAGGGAAATATGGTTAATGGTGAAAGTACTTCAAGTGATCCTATGAGTAATGATATTAGTCCTCAAGCAAATAGACAAGGATGAGAGTGAGGGTGAAGGTGAGGATGATAACGATGATGTGTAAGTGATGTTAATATTGATACTAATGATCTTATGTGATTTTCTACTCTTAACTATTAATTAATATGTGATTTCCTACTCTTAACTATAATCAAGTGATTCTATTAGGTTTTAGGTTGCTTATTTGTGTGTTTATATTATGTACAAGAATAAATATATGCATTTAATTGTGTTTATTTAGTGAATAAACTTATCTTGGGAAGTAATTATGTTTTATATGGTTGATTGTTATTCAGGATATGCGTTTTTAGTACAATCTGATGTTTTAAGTGTATATTTTAATATGAACCTTAAAATTTTATGATTTTAATCTACGATTCCGATTCTACCTCAGTTTTCGATTTTACTTAAAATCTCGATTTTGACTACATCGTTTATAGCCTTACTATAATACAAAATTATAAATCTACTATTCAATTACTCATGACACTTAACATACCTTTTACTTGCTCTGCGTCAGTTACTGTGTGTTTCTGCAACATTCAGCTTCCCATTCTTCCCGATCACAATACTCCTGTTGCCCTTCTGAGTCGAAAGCAGCCTCCAAACAAGCACAGAGTGTCCAAAACTTGGTCTAATATGTACAAGGAAAAATTACATGGGGGCAAATAGCCGGACTAAGGACCAAAATCAACATGGTTTTGAGGAGGATGGAAGACTGCAGATTTTGATGTAGTATCTAACTACCAGAGCAAAGAAGCTACTGAACTGTCTTTCCATTCGGATCTAGTTTCCTGAAACCTTCTGCAATCACTGATGTCTAGTCTTTTCAATTGCTTCAAACCAGATAGCTGATTTGCTGACAAAGTTTTCCAATAATGGCAAAGCTTGCCAATACCGCCAATACCTTGAATACCAACAGTAGTCACACCTCCTGAGCTCAGAGTATTCTTTCTGTTATTGCCTCCATGTTATATTCAATTCCAATCAACATATCAGTCTTTAATGTATAACTATCGTTTTTTAACTGCGGCGGTAGGGGTGGCAATTCGGTTACCGGTCGGTTAAACCAATAACCACCGGTTACCGGTTAACCGATAACCAAAAATTGCATTGTGGTAATAGACGCTTCGGTTAATCGAGTAACCGATGCCGGTTAACTGACTAACCGAGGCTAACCGACCGATCCAGAACGACGTCCTTTTATATTAAAAAAAACACTAAACCCTAACCCTATCTCCTTCCTCCGTCGACCCGACCCCCAGCCGTCATCCCTCTCGACCCTCCTCAGGGCACGGGATACCGTCACAACCCCCATAAGGGTTGTGATTTTCACTTCCCACTTCCCAGCCGTTGATCCTCCGGTTACATCTAATGGTGCAGAAAAGAGGAAGGGCTTTTGTGTAACTATATTAATGAATTGTTTTCGAAAATTAACAATAAATGAATTGGAAAAATATATTGAACGTGATTTGTGGGATGATTTGAAACTAACCATAACCGCATCCACGTCTATTCAATTCCTGGAATCTTCCCATTCAATAACCGTCTGCATCACTTATTTGGAAAAACATCGTCGCCGCCGGCCGTAGACAATGGACGTCAACAAGAACCACGAGGACAACATTGATCGTGGCAGAGCTGAACAATCTGGTTTCGTTCGGGTCGACCTGAAAGTCCCATACATATTCAATAACAACGCGGTAGTTGAAGAGGCGGAGAATGGTGGTGATGTTATCATGGTGGATGATGGTGCCGATGAGGAACTATTCAACGAAGAGTGGCCGGAGCAGAACGGGAAGACTGAGAAAGTGAACGTTGATAAAACCGACAATTTCGAGGCTGAGGTCGCCCCACCACTTCAAGAGAATGATGACAGGACGATCAATGTCGTCGGCGGTAACATTCTTGGTACGGTGAACATGTGAAGTTAATGTAGTGGTATTATAGTAGTGGTAGCTCGTGAGTAGTATTTAGTAGGAGTGGTAGTCGCTTAATGGTACGTCGTTGGTAGTGGTAGTCATGTAGTGGTATGCACATAATGGTAACATACCACTAGTGAATTACTAGTAGAAATCTAGTCGTAGGCATCTAGTGGTATGCACATAATGGTACCACTATTGAATTAGTGGTAATGGCCTAGTGGTAGAAATCTAGTGGTAGTAATGTCATGTCAGTATATTTTACAGTGGTAAGTGTACATCTATAATGTCACTTCTAATGTTTTGTTTAAATTACAGATGCAGTATCAACTGCCATCCCAGCAGATGAGTCAACTTGGAGGCACCTGCGATTCCAAAATCAAGATGAATTTAATCGCTTTTACAAGTGTTTTGCTCATGGAAGAGGATTCTCGTCAAGAGTTGTTGGCGCGGTGAAGAAGAAAAGGTCATACTTTCTAGAACCATTCATATTCTATTTTGGAGGTGAGTGTAGTAAACGAGGGTACAGGAAAAACAGCAGGCTGGATCCGAAAAATCATCAGGAGGTCGTTGACTCAGAGCTTCCTAAAGAAAGGGAGAGGGGGGAGACTCGTTTTGGTTGTCAAGCTGTTGCTCTGTGCAGGTATGAGCACCCAGCCGGTAATTACAGGATTTACAAATGGACAGACGAGCATGATCATGAACTGCACAATGCCTTGTCAAGACGTTTTATGCGCTCAAATCGTGAGGTAACGGCAGAATATGCATACTTTGCCGAAATAAACGATTGTGCGGGGATCCCTATTCAAAACTCTTATGATTCATTTGCTGCTGCGGCCGGGGGGAAGGAGAATCTCCCATTCACACAGAGGGATCTAAAAAATTGTACACAAAAGGCAAGGAACAGACGCATGGCGAAAGGTGATGCACGCGTTCTTCACGAGTATTTCAGGAGGAGGACCAAATGTGACCCATCATTTTTCTACGATATGCAAGTAGATGCGGATGATGAAATTGTGACTGTATTTTTTGCGGATGGCAGAATGCGGTTTGATTATGAGTGCTTTGGTGACGCAATAAGTTTCGACACGACCTACAGGACGAACCAAGGCTCCAGACCTTTAGGTACGTGACATTGGTAGTTGATTACGGTTATTGACGATTTTGATACCACTTGCTTGACTAATGGTATTGGTACCTAACATTGGTAGTGAACTAATGGTACTTCTGTTGCTCATTCCAATTAATTCAGGATTATTTGTTGGTTTCAACAATCATAGAGAGTTGTGTATATTTGGAGCGGGGTTGATGTACGACGAAACTGCTGCCTCTTTTTCATGGCTATTCCATAGTTTTCTCCGATGCATGTCTGGCAAACAACCAAAATCGATCTTCACAGATCAAGCAAAAGCTATAGCCATAGGAATTAAAGAGGTCTTTGATGAATCATACCACGCACTTTGCACCTGGCATATACACCAGAATGGGATGACTAATCTTGGGCCGCAACGTTATAACACCGACTTGAAGACTGAGATTAATTGTCTCATGTACAGCGTTGACACCGAGGAGGAATTCGATCATGTGTGGAACCGAATGATTGATAAGTATTTTGCTGGGAAAGGCCCTGACGGACACCCTTGGCTTGCCAAGCTACGTAAACACCGGTAAGTAACATGTTATGTGCATAATGGTACTTCACTAGTGGTAGCGACGCACATATGTTGTTGTACCAGTAGTATACAGTGGTACAAAACCACTGACAGCGCATACCAATTCATGTTTACGTGTTGCTATGTAGTGTTACGTATATTGATATTGTCCCATCTATTTCAAATGCTACGCAGGTATAAATGGTCAAGACTTGGTATGAGAGAACACAGG